GTGGAGCATTGCACAACTTTAAATGAGTATGTTCCCTCATTGATCAGTAACGAAACAACGTTAAGCGGGATGACTTTAAGTGAGGAGTTACTGTACATTCTTCTTCCCTAAATTTCTCTGGCCGCTTCAACTGAATACAGTATTCTTCACTTCCTGTCCTAACCTATTTGGTAGTGTTACTCTCCACTGTTTCAGTGGTGGGTAAAGTTATCCCTGTTTGTGAAGCACTGTGAAGTGGTTTGGAGTGAAATCTGTTGTGTAAGATTGAGGGGTTTGGGTAGACGGAATGTGATTCAATTAGAATCTGGCCAGGATATTAACATTAATATCCCTAAATCTTGAGGAAAGTACCATGGAAGTTTAAACCCAGCAAGTGAGCATCTTTTCAGTCTTTTTAAAATTCAAAAATAATGTCACCTCTCCTTCTGCTGACTCGTATGTAAGTCCCTTACTCAGACTGTCACAGTCTTGGGGCAGCCACACACTCCATTTCCAATGTGTCCTTCCTCTCTTTTGGCCCACTCCACTTCACCAGTACTTCCTATAATGACTATAAATCTGAGAGCAGCCCTGAGCATTAGATAATTCAGTCCTGTGTTCCATCCAGTGCGACCTGCCAATCACAGAGCAAGATGCTGTGCCACCTATTGTGTGATGCACTATACGTGCAGTTAATTAGCAACTGTTTAGAAGGGAGGGTAGGGAGACAGACTTAGAGGTGGGGGTGAGGGTGGAAGACTGGGCGAAGCAGCTGAATCAGGAAACTCATCTCTTCATGTGAGATGAAAGATTCCTGATTACACAGCAAAGTAGATTATGCCTGTCCCAGGGCAAACCTCAAACAGTAGTTGTGTCAGTAGCAGGTTGTGGAAACTCAGATTTAAACCCTATGTGCAGAAGGGGCTGTGTCTGCTTTACACAGAACACCACCTTTCAGCAGCAAGTTTTCTGATCCTTTCTTTGCCCTCCTGACCCTCCTGAGTTATATCTCAGCATCAGGAGCAGCAGAGAGGGCAGAATGCTAGCAGATTGGAGACAAGTTATCAAGCTAGTCCCCTCTCATGCTCTAAGAAATCCCTCAACCAATTTACACACTAAGGCCCAAATTCTGCTCTGAGTTACAACATGCAGCCTCATGCACAGGTGTAAATGAAAAACATTTAAGACCATCTCCTATTCAATTGCACTGTATACAATTGTCGGAGCGTGGGCTGCGAAGGCAATTGGCATAAAAGTGGGTATGTGCAATGAGGGAGGATGAACTGGTGCCCAAGGAGCAGTGGGCAGCTAAGCAGGCGGACAGTGAGGGTGTGGTGAGGCAGGCATGTATGGATTTTTGGGGGAGGGGGGTGGAAGAAAGAAGCAAGGTGCCCTGCTAATGACAATACAAGTCTTAGTTCCTCAGAGGAACCCTGGATGGTAAGGCTCTAAGTGGCCAAGGTGGTTCCACCTATCCGCCTGCCCTCAGCTATGATGCATTGGCTTCAGGTTGGTAAGTTGCTTGTGAGTATGTGTATCTGTCTTCCTCAGTTCACCAGGTTGAGCTTGATGGTGGCTCTTCTCAGTTTGACCAGGCAGTCAGCTCAGCACATTTCCTGGTACTTTCCCCCCCAACTCCTTAGCTGCTGAGACATGCTCTTACTTGTCTCTCTTCATCTCAGCAAGAAGACAGTTGCAGCAGCTGGGTCTGTGAGGCTGTGGCTTTCAGCAGAACAGAGTCCAACCCAAAGGTAAAAAGGTACCAGGTTTGTGGCCACAAATATAGGATAGCTCTGTCCCCACTGCAGCCACGGACCTATCTTTGTTAGAGAGGGCAAAGTATTCCACAGCCTCCCCCTCTTCCTCACAAGAACATCAAAGCAATGGTTACTAGTGGGGAGAAGTGCCTGAGTAAGGTGGTCCAAAAGCAGCAAGGAGCAGTTCTGCTGAATCAGTGACTCTTAGACAGTCTGGAGTGAAATTTTACAGGGCATCTGCTCCAGCAGAGAAAATAACATGATCTTGCTTTCACTTGGGTGGCTGTTACCCTGACGCCCCTATCCAGTGGGTGAAGCCTGCAGCTTTGCCCCACCCCAGAACTAGCTGCGTCTCCAGATCCAGGAATCTGAAGCGATTTTTTTTTCCCCTCAAAGGGGAGTTCAACCTCAGGCATATTTTTTTCCAAGAGGATCATATAAAGAAGCACTATGAGGAAGGGCCATTCTCCTGCCCCAGAATCTAAGGCAGCTATACAAAATACTAAGGGGGAAATGTGAGTGAGAGCCTCAGGCTGTCAAAGCCCTTTTATTTAACTCCTTCCTAGCCATCTGTGCCTGAGGAAGAACAGTTCTGTCTACCTTAGCTTTTTCTATAGTAGTCTCTAAGCACACAAAAGCCACATAGGATGGAGCTGGGGTAGTCAACAGGCAGACCGTGGGCCAAATCCAGACCGCCAGATGCTTTTGAATGGACCCTGAAATCTTTTCATTTACTTATCATTATTGTTGGGTTTTTTTTTTATTATTATTTTCTCTGGAGGCTGGACCTTGACAATACCTTTGACCAAGACATTTGGACTTTGATAAAAAAAAATAACTGACTACCCCTAGTGGGTCCTCCAGTGCATTCCTTCTGGGAGAAACAAGATGGCAAATACAATGATTTGAACACCACAGATGGGTTATCTAAACTCCCTAAATGGGAGTCACCCTGGGGCTCACCCCTAAAGGGGCCCCAGCCAATCCTCCCCCATTGAAAGTCTTTATCTCCTTTAAGAATGCCCTCGATAAAAAGGAGGGTGGGTCTCTTCGGAAAATGTCTAATTAACAACACAGAGCCTCAATGCATTCCCTCTCTGCAGGACATGGCTCCTATGTCCTGATCTGTATTCTGCAATCTGGTGTCTGAGTGAATGCTAATGTCCACTTTCTGACATGATGCTGCACAAGGAAGGCTCCATCAGATTAGCAACCCCATCTATGACAGGCCATCTGGTTGAGAGAAGAGCCCATGACCTAGCAACTGTTGGCCTGCCAAATTTAGGATCCCTCTCTTCTAGTGAAAGGGAACAGACTATTCAGGGACATCCTAGATCAAGGCACTAAGGTGCAGCAGATCAGAAGAGATATGTCCCTTGTGTCTAGAAACCTGATTCCTAAAATAACTGATCTAATTTCCATTCCTGTCCCTTTTAGGAGATATGTAGGAAAGGGTTTCAAAGCTGCCTTCTCACTAGCCCAGTAAAATTCTGATTCCTAAGAAGGTGAAGGAATCCTACATTTTGGAGTGCAAGATGATCCATCACAACAAACCGATAGCAAGTCAAGGATACAGGATGCAGTTTCTCTTACTTGGTATGTGAAGTTCTTTGAGTAGTGTCCCCATGGGTGCTCTACTTCAAGTGTGTATGTGCTTCTGCACCTTTGATTGGAGATTTTTGGTAGCAGTGCCTGTTCAGTGCACACATGCACTCTACACATCCTCATGCCCTGTACCAAGGATATATAGGGCTGCATGGGTAAACCGCCCTCAGTTCCTTGTCAACTAGTGTGCTCACTTCTACTGAGTGCTTTAGTGTTGTTAAATAGCTAGTTTATTGTTTGTAAATAGTTCCTTTGTACTTCTGTTTTTTTCCTTGTTTGCGGGTCACTTTAGACTCTTAATTTCTGGGATACTCTGTGATCTCCAGGCTTTAAATGTTTTTCCTGCCAGGAATCTATCCCAGTTAATAACAGACTCTATGAGTGTCTGGAGGATGCCCATATTCCCTCAAAGTGTACAATCTGTACTTCAGTTAAAAGCAAATCTTGTAAGAACAAGGAGATAAAGTTCAGGCTCCCACGATGGAGCAAGCCTTAAAACCAGCTTCAGACCAGGGCTCTGAAAACTCCCATGTACATACTGCCCCATCTACCTTCGGATCATGGTGTCTCAGAACTTGAAGGGGTAAGACTGCTGATACCCCATCTACCTATAGTTCCAGGTCACCCAGAGTTTCAAGAGTTAAGGCTTCTGACAGCCTGGTTATCTCAGGATCTTGTCACTGAGGACTGGAAGGGAAAAGATAGCGGCTGCCACTTTGAGATCCCGGTCACCAAAAGCATCTGGGGAGGTGTCTGCATCTGTGCCTTATGATACTGTGAGTCTCACACTCCACGCTGATGGGTATCAATAAGAAAAGCAGGAGTATTAAATCTCCTCCCAAGAGACTTCAAAGTGCCCAGTGATGGGAGAGGGGGGAAAAGATTACTGAGACATCCCTGTCACTGCAGCTGATTGTCTTTCCCTGGGGTATTTATATATGTTGCATGCTGGGGGGGGGGGACAGGACGTGGGAGCAGTTGGCTCACTGTGACCTTGGCGTTACTAAGACTGACTGACATTCCTGTGAAGCCATGTGACCAGGACTGGCAGGCACAGCTGTAGCCAATAGGGAGGGGGAGCCCAGGAGTGGCCATTCCGATTGAATTTCACTCCAGCCACTTGGGATTTTTTTCTCTCTCCCTGTTGCACTTTTCTTCTTTCCTTCCTCTCTGTTTGTGGGGTTGGGCAGCAGAATGTTCTGATGGGGCGTCAGTACATGAGATGTTTGCCTAGTGGATTTGGGATGCTGCCTTAAAGGCTTTTCAGCCCCCTACTCACCATCTCCTTCTGACATTCCTGCATCCTGAAGCGTCTGAGGGTCTTATGGCCCCAACCCTCTACAATATGAAATTCACCTTCCTGCTTTAGGACATTCTCTGTGTTCTCTCTCAGGCTCCTTGTTGCTGCTGTCCCAAAAGGTTAGTATATGAGGCTTTTTGGTGCAAAGGAGATGGGTCAGGACCAGACAAAGCAGCAGATAGAGAAAGGACTCCAGCTCTACCAGTCTAACCAGACAGAAAAGGCCCTGCAAGTCTGGATGAGGGTATTGGAAAAGACCACAGATCCTGCTGGCAGGTTTCGGGTTTTGGGCTGCCTCATCACTGCTCACTCGGAGATGGGCAGATACAAGGATATGCTAAAGGTAAAGTGATCCCAGGTTGAATGCATGTCACAGTGTATCACACCCACAATAGGGAGCAGCTGGGGATTATACTGTAAAAGCATGGTCTATATCTTGCTTGGAGCAAGGTGCATCAGACATTTGATGAATACAATATGCTGCCTTCACCAGCTGGGACAGGTGGCAGTCCTGATTTATGGGTCTAATCCCTGGGGTCCTTACAGTGTCACTCTGCATTCCTGCTCCCTAGTTCTGGGCCCCAAAGATTCTTAAGGACCCAGTCCCCCCCCAGGTTTTCTCAGGTTGCTGCCTGTAGTGCTGATCCTTAAGAAATTTTGGAGCACTAGCCCAAAGCATTTAACTTTGGAGATTCTTAGTTACTTTTCACAAATGGTGTGCTGGGCACTTTACATGCTATTTTGAAGGTGAAACCCTGCCCACAATGAGTACAAAAAAATCAAAGGGGATGATGTAGGACAAGCAGTGATGTGTTACAGTGGGGTTAGTATCTGGCTACCTCCACAATTTTTGATATCTTAAATAGATTTTCTATTACTGGATTTTATTATAATTATATGTATTGCAGCAATTCCCACACCGTTTTCAGCACCGTTCAAACATCCAGGAAACGTTGCTGTTCAAACACAGGCACTGATGTGATGAGCTTAGTCTAACAAATACTTGTTCACACTTCTCTAGTTGTAGAAGATGGGAAGTCAGGCTAAGAGAGAGGAAAAATAAATAGGCTTTTTGGAAGAGGTGTTTTTCAGGAGGGCGTTGGATGAGGAGCAGATGGAGGCCTGGGAGATAAGATCAAGGAGGGGGTTCCCAGTGTTGGGGGCAGCAAAGAGGGTGAGAAGGACACAAAGAGGCACCTGTGTGGCTTGAGGAAAATAGAAGAGCAGAGAGAGGCTTGAAGCTAAACTGTGCAGCGTCTTAAAGGTGAAGACAAGAGCCTGAATTTGATGTGGTGAGTGTAGAGAAGCCAGTGCAGTGCTCTGAAGAGGGGCTGGGTGCATTTGGAACAGCAGAGAGTGTTTGGAAGGATGAGTCAAGGATCTGGGAGACCACACAGGAGGAATTTCTGGTACTCCAAGGTAAGAAACAATCCAGGCCTGAAAAGGGGTCTTGCTGTGCTAATCCCTGTTATTTCTTGGGTGACAGACCCTGAGTTTGTATCTGGGATCAGAGGATATTTTTCTCCATGCTGATGATTGTTTATAAACTCTTCCCATTCAAGTGCTTTACATGGCACCATTTAAAGCAATTTGAGTGCCACTTCCAATTAGTAAAGTATTGGGTGTGTCCAGAGTCCTATCCTCATAGCAAATACAAGGGGGAAAGGAGAAAAGGGGGTGAGAAGCAGTTGGGATGCATGTGAAGACAAGTGGGATGCTCTGAGAGGAGATGGGATTGGTGGCAGGGTGATCGGGGAGGAGAAAGACGAGGGCAATGAGGAGAGAAGATAAGGTATGGTTGTGTGAAGAGAATGTTTTGAGTTGTGTGGGAACAAATGAGACAGGTGAAGGAAAACTTGATAGAATCAAAACCACACTAATAACCTGGAAAACAGGGTCATTGTAGGTGACATTTCTCCAAGATCCTTGTAACACAGGGAAAAGAGCATGACTTCAATAAAGCAGAAGAGTTCATACTATCCAAGGGATTAAAGAGGAAGTAAGGGGACTTTTTACAGATATATGGGGGAACAAATAAGAAGGTATACGAATGAATGAGAAGAGGCATGAAATTAATGATAGTTTAAAAGGGCTGTGATGCTTAACTTCGTTTGGAGAAAAAGGTATTTAAGGGGCAAATGAAAGAAAAGAGGCTTGGACAATAAGGAAGCAAGGAAGAGCTTGTAAAAATCAGGTAAGGGAACACTTTGAATTTATACAAGACCCTGGGTCCACATAGCACACTTCCCAAGGGGGTAAGGGAATTAGTGGACAACGAGAACACTGATAATTATTTTTGAAACTTCATAGAGAACGGGGAAGGTTCTAGAGGACTAGAAAAAAATAAGTGTTGTTCCAACCTTCAAAGAGGGAACGAAAAGTGACCCTTGAGAATTATCATCCAGTAAATCTACCTTTAATCCCTAATAAAATAATGAAACAAACAGAGAAGATGCTAAGCATCTAGTATTGCAATTATTAATTCAGCCCATATACTGCGCTTTGTTCATCACAAGACACAGAAGAAGACATTCCCTGCCCTGAATAGTTTACAGTCTAAAGAGACTTAGACTAGGGTAACTGAACCATACGCAATGAGCAAGTCATTTATAAAGCGCAAACCTTGTCAGACAAATTGTATTGCTTTTCAATAGAAGCACAGAATGAATGGTTGAAGGAATCTTGATGGAAGTAATTAGCAGAAGATTTGATACAATCTTAAATCCTCCTCAAAATTAATTCTGGGAGGTGCTGAGGTGCATGGGGATAAGGAATGGAGTAGTAGTGTAGGAAAAGCTGAGCTGTAAAGTGCAGAAATGTCTTTTTCCTGCTGATGCCTCTTTCCATGGCCATTTGGCAGCTCTTTCCACCAATTTCTAACCCAGATCTCTTCCCTCTGCCAAAGGTAGAGAATACAGAGAGAGGTTTCCCCAGTCTATTTATATGCTGTGTAACCCACCTCATGGCCTGCCTACTTGAGTATTGTATTAATCAATGCTGTCTTGTTGGACTCTTTTTGTCCTGACCACAGGCTATGTAACTTCTCCTGTGCAGGGTACAATTCCCTTGGAAGCACAGGCTTTATTCCTACAGAGAGACCCTCTATAAACACTCTCTTCTCTGCTGAAAGTTTGCAGTTGTGCAGATTGACACAGCTCGGGAGCTAGAGGACCCTGACTACCTTATGGAGAGCTACCTGAACCTGGCTCGGAGCAACGAGAAACTCTGTGAATTCCAGAAAACCATCTCTTACTGTAAGACATGCCTGAACATGCAGGGCACCACTGTGAGCCTGCAACTGAATGGCCAGGTGAGCCTCAGTATGGGCAATGCCTTCCTGGGCCTCAGCATCTTTCAGAAGGCACTGGAGTGTTTCGAGAAAGCCCTGCGCTATGCACACAACAATGACGACAAGATGCTGGAATGTCGAGTCTGCTGCAGCTTGGGCAGTTTCTACACACAGATCAAGGTGCAGAAACACAGCTCAGCTGGTGACCTAGGGGATGGGAAGTAACAGTGGGGAAATTTCCCCCTATCTTGGGTACAGGAAGGGACCAGGGTGGGCAGGGATTCACCCTATATCTTGGATATAGGAAGTAGTTCATAGAGTTTGAGGGAGGGAGGTTGTTCTGGGAAGGTTTTAACTCTCTGCTTCTAATGCCACTAATGACTATTCTGCTTGAGGCTTAAGTCAAGAAGATCAATAGAAGGCATTTACACAGCATCCCAAAGGTAGAAGGTGTGATTCACATTCTTTGGTATACAGCGCACACAACTCTAGAACCTGGACAGCCACAGAGATGTGGTCTAGGCATGGGACTGGGAGCCAACTCCTGGGCCTGGGTTCTATACCTACCTCTGCCACTGACTCACCATGTGACTTTGGGCAAGTCTCCTACCCCTTCTGTGCCTCAATTTCCATAAAATAAGTATAGTGACTAATGCCAGCATTTGTTGTAGCTATGAGTTCTATGACAAAAGAATTACAGTAACTCCTCACTTAGTCATCCCAGTTAAAGTTGTTTCGTTATTAAGTCACTGTTCTATTAGAGAACGTGCTTATTTCAAGTTGTGCAATGTTCTGTTATAACGCCCTCTATCCCTTGCAGCGCCTGCCGGCAGGCCCCACAAATCAGCACCTCCCCAATCAGCTGTTTTGTGGCGTGCAGGGAGGCGGGGAGGAGCGAGGATGTGGCGTGCTTGGGGGCGGAACTGGGTGGGGAGTGGGGGGTTGAGGGCGGGGCCTGGGGCAGAGCAGGGGGGTCAAGCACCCCCTGGCAGTTTGAAAAGTCGGCGCCTGTGGCCCCAGAAGCCTATGGCTGTCTCCAGCTGTGCAGGGATCTAGAGGCCCAGTGCCTCTGCATTGTGTGTCCCAAGCGTACCATGCAACCTGGCAGATTGGCTCCCTTAGGAGACGACTGGCCTCCCCAGCACTCCGGGCCAGGGGGACACCTTCAGTGACTAACTGGAGCAGCATTTGTGTGATCTGCTGCTCAGAGGCCAGCAGACACATCCCCATTGGGTGCTGGGGAAGGATGCAGCACAGTGTCACTTCCTATGTGCTGCCGCTTGCCTGCACTGCCTGGCTCCCATGTTGAGCCCAAACCCGCAGAGCTTGCACGGGGAGGACTCTGCAGGCCTAGGAGTGGGAGTGTTGTTGGCCCAGACCCTCACCAGAGCTCTGGGGCCACAGGACATTCACTTACCTAGTCACAGCTGAGAGTCAAACCGCATATAATATCTTGTCTGGCGAAAAAATTTTCCCTAGAACTTAACCCCCCATTCTTATGGGGAAATTGGATTCGCTTAACATCGTTTCGCTTAAAGTCGCATTTTTCAGGAACATAATTACAACGTTAAGTGAGGAGTTACCGTATTAGGGTTTTTCCATACAAAGTCTTGGTTTCTGTCACCCTGGTTGGCCACCAACTGAGGTCTTACGACAGGGGTGGGCAAACTACAGCCCGCGGGCCGGATCTGGCCCCTCAAGGCTTTGGATTTGGCCCATGGGATTGCCCCCCGTGGCGCCACAGGCCCGGCGCCGCTCTCAGAAGCGGCCGGCACCACGTCCCTGTGGCCCTTGGGCGGGGGGGCAGAGGGCTCCGTGCGTTGCCCTTGACTCCAGGCACCGCCCCCCGCAGCTCCCATTGGCCAGGAACGGGGAACTGCGGCCAATGGGAGCTTCAGGGGAGGTACCTGGAGGCACGGCAAGAGCCGCGCACATGGAGCCCTCTGCCCCTGCCCACGCCCGGGGCCGCAGCGCTTCCTGGAGCGGTGTGGGGCCAGGGCAGGCATGCAGGAAGCCTGCCCTGGCCCCAGTGTGCGCCGCTGCCACCCCGGAGCTGCTTTAGGTAAGTGGTGCCGGGCCGGAGCCCGAACCCCTCCCCCCCCCCCCCCCCCCACCCCCTCGCCCCTCCCCCCCCTCCCGTATCCCCCCTCCCTGCCCTTAGTCCCCTCGTACACTCCCCAACCCCCTGCCCTGAGCTCCATGCTGCACCCTGCACCCCTGTGCACCTCAAGCCCCTGCCCTGAGCCCTCTGCCGCACCCCAACCCCGTCCTGAGCCCCCTCCCACAGTCCGCACCCCTGCCCTGCACTCCGCACCCCTCCCACACCCCAACCCCCTCCCACACCCCGCACCCCTCCTCTGCCCCAATCCCTTGCCATGAGCCCCTTCCTGCACACCGCACTCCCTCCCGCACCCCTGCCCCAGCCCTGCATACAATTTCCCCACCCAGATGTGGCCCTCGGCCCAAAAAGTTTGCCCACCCCGTCTTATGAACTTATAATAAAAAAAAACCTTTTATCTCCCACTGGTCCTCCAAGAAAACCAGAAGAATTAAAACTATCCCGGATATTTCTAAGGTAAAAATCAAGCAGGAAAAAATAAAAAAAACCCTTTGATCTCCTTTATACATCACAAAGAATGAAAAAAAATGGCACACGGGTAGGTTTTTGGTTTTTGTTTTTAAAAAATCTTTTGCAGGTCACTTTTAAATGGTTTTATATTGTTAGTTAAATATTATGATGATTTTACACTATTTTTATTGTTAAATAAAGGAGATTTATTTGACTTCTCATAATTTCCTAGGATAAACAAAATTATTAAGATATTGGATGCCATGATCTTTCCTTTTTAAAAAACCAAAGTGATGACTGTAACAAAGCCCTGATTTCCCCCCCCCCCCCTTTTACTGCCATAACAACCAACCAGACCCAAGAGAGATTCTGACCCACCTGGTGTAGAATGTGAGGGTTAATTGTGTGGAAAACATTTTGAAGTTGAAAGGCTCTGTAAGAATGTAGAAGGCCGAGATGATGGAGGAGCAGGTAAGGGTACAGGTGGCTCTGAACCAGGTTTTGGCCGTAAGGAGGGTAAATCATCTCTATAATGAGAAGCAGAGTCCTTTCCTTATGGATGTCGCTCTGAGCTGACCATGTAATCACCCCAGCATATAATTTAAATTCTGGACCTGCTAGGGACATGTGCTGGGGAAAATGGAGTCTACCATGTGGCAATTCTAGCTTCCCTAGCTGGATACACATGCTCATTTTGAAATGTTGGAGGGTCCTATTACTGCAGGGGCAGTCTAACTGTCTAACTTGTTTCTGTCCTTCTGCTCGTCTCTTTGCCTTCCAGGACTATGAGAAAGCCCTGTTCTTCCCATGTAAAGCAGCTGAATTGGTGAATGATTATGGAAAGGGCTGGAGTTTGAAGTACCGAGCAATGAGCCAGTACCACATGGCAGTGGCCTATCGGAAGCTGGGGCACCTGGCAGATGCTATGGAATGCTGTGAGGTACAAGGTGGAGGTAGAGATACTGGGCCAAACATGGCAGAGAGATGCTGGGGAGAGGTCTCTGCAGGTCAGGATTAGGGGGTATAGAGATACAGCAACATTCACCTTGTACCCCAGATACCACTTCTGCCTCCCACCCCTAGAGACAGCACATCTGTGGTTTCATTAGCCAAAGCTGTTCTCAGGGGTGCCCTCTGCTGGGAACATGCGTTGCACAACTGTTGTTGAAGCTTTCTTCCCCAAGGGTGTATCATTTCTCTGAAGCTGGCCATTGAGGCAGGCTGGGGTATTGTGAGGGCTTCAATCCCCGCTGGGCCTGGGGAAGGTTCTTGTACTGACTGGAGGTGTTTTCTTTCAGGAGTCAATGAAGATTGCTCTGCAGCATGGGGACCGGCCACTGCAGGCACTGTGCCTACTCTGCTTTGCTGATATCCACCGCAGCCGAGCAGACATACAGGTGGGAGCAAGGGGAGACAGACAGGAGGAGTCGGGGATGGAAAGGAGATATGGAAAGGGAGCACCAGGACTGGGCACAACTAAATGTGTCTCACTGTCTATCTCATGCTGCAGACAGCCTTTCCTCGCTATGATTCCTCCATGAGCATCATGACAGAGATTGGAAACCGCCTGGGACAGATCCAGGTACTGCTGGGAGTGGCCAAGTGTTGGGTGATCCAGAAGGAGCTAGACAAGGTCAGTCACAGGCCATTCCTGAGGAAACTGGGGCCCTCTCTGAAGTAGACAACCTCATTCTGAACTGTACACACCTGGGTAGAGCAGAGTCCCATGGTCCTCTATTCTACACACTGGATCTGGTACTTGACTACTGACATTTTTCTACATAATCCAATTTGGGAAGCTGGGAATCTGTCATAAATTGAGTACACTCATACTGGATCCAGATCCATGGTCTACAAAGTCACGTGGCCAGTACCAGATGCTTCACAAGAAAACACATATTGCACAGAGATAACTGCAATGAAAGAAGTGGGAAGAGGGGTCACTTCCTGCCTCCCATCTTATACTCTGAAGCAAATTTGATTGACTCTCTCTTAGCTGTATAATTAGTATTAGTGATTGTGGTATTATTTACAGCCCAATAGGTACATCCTGTGCTTTACAGAAAAACATATGACACAGAGCTGACTAGAGGAGCTTAGATTCTAGGATAGATAAAATATAGCATGGAACAGGGAGAGATGGTACTAAACAAAGAAGTGGGAATGGGCAGGAGATTACACGGTACAGACCCGTGAGGTTTTTTTTTTCACTATGTGTACAGCATGTTAGTTCCTTTAAAATAATACAATTACCCCCCAAAAAACTACATTTAAAAGAAGAATATTAAGGTTGCAAAGCGACACACTCAAAAGTTAAGAATTGTCAGAATCAAGATTGCCTGTACAACCTTAATTCAAACCCCGTATGAATTATGATAGTCTTTAATTGTACATTACGTATTTCTTCTACAGGACCCCTGCCTCAGTCAGTCCACAGAATGGAGGGAGCTCACTTAATGGGCAACTATTCAGTATTTTGTATCAGAGGGGTAGCCGTGTTAGTCTGAATCTGTAAAAAGCAACAGAGGGTCCTGTGGCACCTTTGAGACTAACAGAAGTATTGGGAGCATAAGCTTTCGTGGGTAAGAACCTCACTTCAGAAGTGAGGTTCTTACCCA